CGTGCGTGCGTACGTGCGTGTGTGCGTGGTTGTCGTGGTGGTGGTGGTGGTGGTGGTGGTGGTGGTGGTGGTGGTGGTGGTGGTTGTGTGTGTGTGTGTGCGTGTGTGCGCGTGTGCTGTGGCATGGCACGGGAAATGACGCCAGCGCTGCAGCGGGAGCACGAGTCGAAACGAGCGGAAGCGCGGAAATGAGGCCAGCGCTGCAGCGGGAGCACGATTCGGAACGAGCGGAAGCACGGAAATGAGGCCAGCGCTGCAGCGGGAGCACGATTCGGAACGAGCGGGCCCCGAAAATGAGGCCGGCGCCTCAGCGAGAGCAGCATTTTGAAAACAAATGCAGGCGAAAACCCAACTCCCGGGAATCCTGTGTGTAAAAAAACAGGACGCGGGGGGGGGGTCGGCTACTTTCAGGCCGTCATCGGGGGAAGAGGGAGAGTAGCATTCATATTGAGTTATTGTGCAGGGGCAGGAGGCTGGTCGCGCCACGTTTCGCGCGGGTGCCGTCTCGGAATGCCTTGGGGCGCGCTGGTTCCCAGGCGGCGTTGGCGCGAATCGTGAGGTGATCAGGCAAGGGGGAGGGGGGGAGGGGGGCGGGGCCGGTCACGGGCGTTATCGCGAACAATTGACAACATGGGCTCCATGGGGTAGCGTCAGTCGTGGGCCCTTCTCAGAGGAGGGCGAGTTGAGACAACGGTAGTTAGTTGGCCTCCGGGGGTCCCCTCGCCGCCACGGCTGGACGCATTTCGGACACTTGGCGCATTTGGACCCCTGGAGGGGGTCTGGGGACGGGTTTGAGCTGGCGTTGTCTCAGTTCGCCTTGCTCCGACCTTCCACCTTCGGGTGATGCCGGATGTTTTCGAATGGTGCTTGTGGGTCTCGAGGGCGGTTTCCATTGGCTACGCCTCGTCGAGCTGGCGCGACCAGAATGAGCACGGAAGGAATGAGGACGAAGGCCGACAGCAGTTTTTGAGATTGTCTGATCACGGCTCTCCGTCTATGTCGCCGCGACCGTTGTCCATTTGACGCCAAAAGTCGCTTGCATAACAGCGGCCGCTGTCGGTTTTGGAGAACGTTCGTTCTTGTCCGTGCCCGTTCTTCCTGCAGCCATTTCGCTCGTGCCAACCCATGGCGATTCAGGGATGCCAGAATCGTACCGAACGGCCGCTTGAGGCCCTTCGCAATCGACTGGGGATTGTTAGAAGTGATCGTGGTCCAGGGCGGCCCCAGTTTGTTTCACAGGCCCAGGGTGACCTTTAAGAGCACCCTCTGCGAGGGCCAGAGGGCCAAGGGGCGTGGAATATTGCGCGGGAAGTTGGGGGCATCCTATGCCAGGATCTCTTCTGGCAACCTCCGACCCTCTGAGGTCTCTTGGAGCCCACGTCATGAAGTAAACATGACGTCAGGGGCTTTGGTCGGGGGCAACATGGGTCAACGTCAGGCTTGGGCGGGAAACAAATTAGGGCAGCGACCCCATGGACACGGGGCGTTTTGTTTTCTTCGCGGATGTCTGGTGCGGAACTCATCCAGGCGGCCGCGCATCCACAGGATCGCGTTCGGCAGTCCAGGCCTCGAGGGCGTGGATATGAACATTCTGTCGGCCGCTCGTGATCCGGGGTAGGACTGGCTCAGGCCGGGCGGGGCAAAGGGGTAGGCCCTGGGAAAGTCGTTGCAGAGCGTTCCGGAACGCTCTCAGAGCGATTTGGAGCGCTCTGGGACACGCGGCGCCCGATGCATCAGAACTTCCAGATTGCATGTATCCCCGATTTTTCCTGGTCCGATTATTTTCCAGTCTTGGGTTCGTCTCGTCAGGAGAGGAAGCATCGATCCCCAACCGCCCATTCATCGCCAATCGGAGCTTGATGGCCCACCCCGTGGAGGTGCCTCCGGCGCCGCCGTTGGCGCGGGGATCCCGTGCAGATCCAAGGAATTCGCGCAGACTTTCGAACATTTTATGTGTTTTTGATTCCACTAGCCCAGACCTCCTCGCGTTGCGCAAAAAGTGGGACGGAGGATGTGGGAATAGTTTCCGTCTCGGAGCTCTGACCAGGCCGCAGTATTGTCAAACAATAGTTCGCGATGAAAGGGGGTCCAGACCTCAGGGGGCAAGTCTGAGTAGAAGGCGGACGGTTATCCGAAGGTGGGATTTGGGAAGAAACCCAGCTGGTTGTTCACACTTCCTCCTTCCAGGGGCCGTTTGGAACGATGTTTCTCCAGGTCTGCCCCTACCCCCTTATCCCACCTTGACGTCCTCACCTTGACCCCCGGCGGAGGCAGCGACGGTAATTGAGGACAGGGGCGGGGGCAGGGGGGCGGACGGCGGAGGAGTAGGAGAATCAGGGGCCACGACGGGGGGGAGGTAGGCGCGCACTGGGGGGGAGGGACATCGACCCCCAGTCGTCCCCATTCATCGCCGATCGAGGCCCGGGTGACCAGAACGCGCGGTTTCGCAATCGGGTGTCGCCGATCTATCGGCGATGCTTTCCCGACTCCAGGTCCATGTTTCCCCCCTCTCGTTCCTTTTCAGAGGAGGTGGAGGAGGAGGAGGCGCATGCTTCCCTTGTCCCCAAGCTCGAGCCCTCGGGTGTGCTGCCGGGTGTGGGGTCTGGGTGGATCTGTGAGTATCTCGCGTGTTGCCGCTTGCGCCTTTGCGTTTCAGATAATTGGGTCCTGAGGGATGGCGGAGCTCTAAGGACGACTTGCCTCAATGTTTATATCCAACCTCGGGTACCTTCCAATGCTTAGGGCCCCATCCCGACAGGTGCGTAATGAACGCAGTCCCCTAAGTTGTGGCAGGTCGGGGAGGAGGAGGAGGGGGAGGAGGAATAGGCGGATTGTTCACAATTACACCAATGGGAGGAGGAGGAGGAATTGCACGACGACTGTGGCGGCAGCCGACGACAACGACGTCGTCCATAATTACAAGTTCGGGGTGGTGGAGAACAAGACGATGAGGAAGAACACCAGGGGGAGAAAGGAGTGGGGGAAGAGGGAGGATGATGAGTTGGAGTTGGAATCCGACGACGGCCCCGACGATCACAACGATGATGACGACAACAACTACGTTGAGAGAGCACGGAAAAGGGAGGGAGGGAAAGACGACGCGTGTCGACGCAAGGAAGAGTCAGCATCACCCAAACATACTTGTATTATATGTGCGGCGCCTCTTCCCAGTGGCGACGCGCGTGCTCAGGAATCTTCGAGTATTCCCGCAGTGGCGGCCGTTTCTTCGCCATGCCGCCTGGTAACGATCTACTGTGAGATGGTCGTGCTATCGGTTCGGTTCGGACATGTACCTCCCAGAGGGGCGCTCTAAAGCATACCAAACTCGGCAAGCGGGGCACCAAATCCAAGAAACAGAAGAGGCGATTACGGGAGGAGGAGGGCGAACGAAGACCGAAGACAGTGTAGGCAGGAAGGGGAAGAACAGCGAAGTGGGGACCGGAGGAGCAGCAGCAGGGGACGAGGAACGGGATGGGAAGGAGAGGGGAGGAAGAGGATGCGGGGGAGGAGGCGGCAGAGGAGGGCGATGAACATGGAGGGCGGACGAGGACCAGGACGAGGAGTGCGCACGAGGAGAAGGAAGGAGGAGGAGGGGAAAGCAGGCAGGACGACGAGGTTGCGGGAGTTTGCGGGCTGAACGCTCGCAGGCAGGCAGCTGCCGCCGGCGTCCCCACCGCCGCCGCCGCCATCGTCGTCGTCGTCGTTGGGCTGCTCGGTCCTGTTAGACTCATGTCGTCGTCGCCGTCGTCGCCGTCGTCGTCGTCGTCGTCATTCGTCGAGTTTCGCCGTCTTAGCCGCCGCCACTGCCGTCGTTTTGGCGGCGCGCACATGGGGTTGGCGCGAGGGGGCAGCCTTTTTAGAAAGCGGCGGACCTCTTAGAAGGCAGGGACATGTTCTTTTTCGAAATCCTAGAAGCCGCGAGGTTTTAGAGATGTCAGTTGCCTTCTCAGAATACCCCCGCACCTCCTTAGAAGGCCACCCCCTCGCGCGCCACGTCGTCTGGCAGGTCGTCGTCGTCGTGCGGCGCCTCGAATGAGGATACGCCCCCTCGCCCTACGCCTACTACGGGGCGCCCCCTCCGGCCGGCGCCTTGGCGCGCGCGGCGGCTTGGGACCAAAGCGGGTTCCGTCTCGCTCGTCCCTCCCTTTCGACGACGAAGAACGAGCGTCAAAACAGAAATGTTTGAAAGTCTGCGTGTTTTTATCCGATCTGCACTGGCCCCCATGGCGGCGCCTCCGAAGCCGTTCCCGGGCGCGCTCCGCGCGCCAGGGAGGAGGTATTCAGCGTTGATCCAACACATCCGCGCGGAAAGTTTTTCGTCGCGCAGTTGTTTGTTCTAAGTATTGTGCGACGTGGTTTTCGCCGCGGGCGTTCTGGGTACGTGCGCAGGCACCTCCTCCCAGCCGTGTGGGGCCGTGTTGAGCAAACTTGGACGAAATTGGAGGCCATTTTGAGGCATCTTGCAGCTTGCTTAGCCCAGAGGCCACCCAAGGGCCAAGGGATATCCCCGATAAGCAAACACCCATCAAAAACCTCAGGGTGTCCACTGATGCTGGGTCGTTATAGGCAGTGGACGGCACCAGCTTGCCTCCCCCCCCCTCGGAACTAGATAAATAATCACAAACTCAAGAAGCATGTTTGCACGATTTGGGCACATCGGGGGTAGGCTCCGTGGCCACGTGGGGCCGTCTTGGGGCCTTTTGGAGGCATCTCGGAAGCCATTTTTGGCTACACGTGCCATCTTGGACGCCATGTTGGGCTATCCGGGGCCATCTTGGACATCTCAACCCCTCGTAAAATCCTGGTCCCGACCCAATGGGGGAGACGGCGGTCTGAAAACACAAACGATTTGAACGGGGGTTGCAAACACAGTCGATTTGAACGACCTGTACCCAAAGCCGAGATGGCCTTTGCGACTCTCTGTGTGGTACGCAGTGTTTGTCAGGGGGCAAGCAACCACCATGAGAAAAAACCGTAACGTCGAGCAGAACCAGCAAGATGTGACACAAGAAACCAATGAGGAAGTAACGTGGGATGGCGAAGCAAAAATAGTGAGGATGAGGACCACGAGGACGGGGAGATGGAGGAGGAGAAGGATGAGGAGGAGGAAGCGCCCCCTCACGCAGCGCAGGTGGAGGCGGAGGAAAAGGGGATGGAGGACGGAGGACCCAGAAGTATCTCCGACGCCGTGAGTTTTTCGCAACAGGGTCGCTGAGATGGCCCCTTCCCAGCAATGAGTTGTCATCCCGACTGGTCGCATGACGGTCATACGGCTTGGTGAAGGCCCCCCAAGGCCGAAAATTGTCAAATATGTTTCGTCTTGCTCGTTTCGCAACGCAATGCGGTCTGAGGATGGATGGGGGGGGCCTTTGGTCCTCGAGCAATCGAGCCCCGACGACGTCGCCGCCGCCGCAGAGGCCCCCCAAAAAAATCCCCCGAGGTCCTCGGCGGCCTCCGCGGCGGCCTCTGGAAGCCTCTGCTCCCAGACCCTCCTGGCGTCGTGAAGGAAACTGCGGCGGAATGTGTTTCGCTATTTTCTGCCCGCAGGGGACCCTTACTGAGCCCGGGGACAGTCGAACGATTCAATACTCGGAATGAGAGGCCGACCGCAGGGAAGGGGTCCAGGGTCCAGACCTCCAGGGGCCCACGTGATGTGAAAATCAATCCGCCGTGGGTCTGGGTTCCGCGCCCCTATAGGAGCAACAGCCTTCCAAGCCCAGACCCTCGACGTTCTGATTTTTGTGATGACGTGGACTCCCAGGGGACCTTCTTTTCTTCATCCTGAGTCAAGTTTTGTCGCTCCCAGGGCCCCATGGGGGCCCCCGAAGGCCGAACATCTACAACAAGTGGCAAGGGAACCTCGCTCCTCGAAGGACCAGCCGCGATGCCGCCGCCGCAGGAAGTGTCTGGATGGCGACTGGCCTGCTCAAGGCGCCCCCTCTGCGTCCCCCCGAGGAACAACAAGCCCAAGTTCCGAGCCTCGCGGCCGCCGTCGCACCGTCGCAACGTCGTCCGCCCACCGTCGCCGAGGCCGTCGTCCGTCCGCCGTCGTCGCCGTCACCGTCCACTGAGATCCGACGCGGCGGAAGAAATGCGACATCAGGACAAATATCGACCAGAGCCCCAAGCCCTGTCTTTCTGCACCATGTGTCTACCCAGATCGATCTGTGAGGGTCCCAGGGCCCAAAGCGATGCAAAATCGTCCATGGCGACAAGACTCGCAACACCAGGATCTCAGGGTCCACAGTCGTCGTGACCGCCACCCGAGGCCGGCGGCTACGGAGCCCCACCACCTGGCTACGGCGCGTACCCCGCGCCGCAGCCAGGCTACGGTTGCGGCTACGGGCGGCAGCCAGAAGGCACCTTCGTTGGCCTCTGATGGCCGCCGCTTCCCGCTGCTCATCGCGGAGGATGATGTCATCGGAGGAGGACGAGGAGGACGAGGGCATGAGGACAAGCAGGAGAACGAGCACGATCAAGGATGACGAGGGTCGAGGAGAGAAAGCAGAAAGGGATGATCGTGGATGAAGACGTCGACGTCGACGTCAAGCAGGACGAGGAGGACGAGGATGTGGTCGTCATCAGCACGCCCTACGCGCGCACAGCTCAAAACACACGAAGCTGCCCCGTACATCGCCAGAGTGCCAGCGTGCTGCGTAGAAACTGTCTCCTGGTTCTGAGGAAGGCGGGGAGAGGGCAAACAGTTCTTGAGAATTTGTAGTGCATTCCTGGAGTCGCCTCTGGAGGCCTTTGGGATAGTACGAAGGGAGGAATCTCCAGCCAGGGCCTCCAGAGACTGAAGGACAGCTCTAAATCAGGAGTGGGATGCGGAGGGAAGAAGAGGATAGGAGGGAGGAGGGCGTACCTTCTCCCCTTCCATCATCCACGTCCCCATCCTACCCATGCACCCCTTCTCACCCCTCCTCGTTGATGTAGCGCCTTCTCTCCCTCCCCCTCCTTCCTCTTGCCCCCTCCTCGTCCTCCTCTGTCTCCATCCTCGTCCTGCCTCCTCATAAACAGCTTTCCGCCGTGATTCGCTTCAAGACTCGAGGGAGAGGGGGTAGGACAGAGCAGGAGGAGGATCAGGAGGGAGAGTGAGGAGCAGAAGGAGGGATAAGCAGGATAAGCAGGACTCTCGGGCCGTTGAAGGACCTGTGCAGAAGGGACGTGCCGTCGTCAGGGGCCTCACCCCAAAGGCCTCCCCGTGATCGGGTCCAGGACCTTCTTCAGACGATCCACTCGTCCCTGTGCAGTGGCTCGGAGGCCCTTGCACTCCCTTGTGCAGAGACCCTGCGAGGAGGAGGAGGAGGAGGAGGAGGAGGAGGAGGGGGAGCGAGGAGGAGCGAGGAGGAGGACGAGCCGCAGCCTGACGCTCCCATTCTTGCGGGCATCTCCACTATTCCGCTTGTGTTGGCATTGACACTGAAATGATAGTTTTCGAGAGTGAAGGTGGTCGAGCGTTTTTAGACCCTTTTAAACAGAACGCCTCCACTGACGCAACGGTCATCCAGCATATTGAAACTAGTGAGGAGGAGGAGGAGGAGGGGGAGGAGGAGGAGGAGGAGGAGGAGGAGGAGGAGGAGGAGGAGGAGACGTGGAGGAGGGCCGAATCAGCCTGGGCGCGAGGAGGCTGAGTTTGCTCGGAGGGAGGAGGGAGGAGAGGAGGAGGAGGAGGAGGAGGAGGAAGGGGAGGAGGAGGAGGAGGAGAGGGAGAGGGAGGAGGAGGAGGAGGAGGAGAGGAGGAGGAGGAGGAGGGAGGAGGAGGAGAGGAGGAGAGGAGGAGGATTGAGGAGGAGGAGGAGGAGGAGGAGGAGGAGGAGGAGTAGGAGGAGGAGAGGAGGAGGAGGAGGAGGGGGGGGGAGGGGGAGGATGGAGGAGGAGGGAGGGGGGGAGGGAGGGAGGGAGGGAGGGAGGGGAGGGAGGGAGGGAGGGAGGAGGAGGAGGAGGAGGAGGAGGAGGAGGAGGAGGAGGAGGAGGAGGGGGACGGGAGCATGAGCATGAGCATGACCATATGACTAAGTCAGTGAATCCTCCACATCGCTATACATTACGCTTGCGCCTGGTGGCTTACTCAGCCTTGCTCAAGACCTTTGGCCACGAGCCCTGAGAGATCAACCGTAGATACTCGGCCCTGTGCGGGGTGGGAGGGGTCACGCACGCACGTCCCAGAGCCAAGAGCTGCTGTGAGCCATAGCTGCCACAGCCGACGCAATACCACAACTTCAAATCACCATGAAACTGCATTCGGTGACTAGAGTGGACATAGCCACCCGCAATGTGCAGCATAGCACCCTGAGGTTTCCGAAAGATTACACCGTTATAATTGATCGGGGAGAAACATGGGGACCTGAACCATTCCGTTCGGGTCGCCCTCGACGCCGATCCTCCGCACCTGGTGCACTTGCACCCAGTGCTGTCCACAGAATGGGACGAGGCAAGAAGGGCGAGAGAGGCAGCAGCGGGAGGCGGGGGAAGGGGCGGGGCGGCGGGTCCTTTTTCCTCCTCAACACACCTCTCCTTATCCTCAGCAGCCATGGAGTCGAGAGTGGCTCGGAGGATGCGCATCCTGACAAGCCGAGCCTCCCTCTCCTGCAGCAAAACCCTATTACGGACCGCCTCTGCCAGGCGGACTTCCCGAGCCGCTTGTCCAGCGATCTCGTCCACGATCAAATTGCCTGCCACCATCCACCGCGGAGCCTTCCCTTCGACGATGCCTGTGGCAGACAGGTGTGAGTTGACAAAAAGAACGGTGATGGCGTCCGGGGGCCTCTTTTTCAGCAGGAGGCCCAGGCGCGCCCAGAGATCGGCGTCCTCACCTGAGGGCGCCTCAAACTTGCGGCAGTAACATCCTGAAACTACTGGTTCGCAATCTGAAATGAAAACGATGGAGCCTGTGGTCATCCAGACTGCCAAGAGCAAAGCACGCAACTCGCCACGAGCAACAATCTGCCTGGGCCCCGTTAGCGGGCCTCTGACAGTCCAGGCTAACTGCAGCTGGGGCTCTAGAGCATGCATGAACACAACGGCGACACCTACACGTCTGAAGAGCGGGCTGGCCGTGTCAGGCCCCCCGCTCGCGTCTCCAAAGGCAAAAAGCGGCGCCTGCTCATATCCTCCAGCGACGCATCCCTCCACGATTGCCTCTCCGAACAGCTCCTCCGTGCCAACCCAGGCCTCAACATCACAAGGCGGCGGCACCTCCGTCCAGGGCGCTGGCATGAGGCCACAGAGCCAGAAGCCCTGATCGGCCTCGCCTTGCGCGAGGGCCTGAGGAATCAGGTCGTCCGACTCGGTGTACGCAGCCTTCTCGACGTTGCTTTCACATAGCCATATCCGATGCATCATATCTTCTGGCGCTTTCCGACATCGAGGGCACTCAACGACACCTGCGTACTTGCTCAACTCGTCCTTCTTGCGCTGCCGCGGCCAACAGCCTCCCACTGCGCATGCCAGCATGACCTCCGACAAGCGGTGGCCGTACACTGGGACCGCAGCCAGCTGCTGCAGCAAGATCTGGTACGATACGCAGTCGACGCCCTGACTCAGTCCTGCCCCGCAGAAGTGCTGGCTCGCCTTCTGCCACAAGCCGTGCTCCAAGGTCTGCTTGAAATCCGTAATGAAGCCCTGGTGAGAGTCCAGCGCTGCAATGCCCGAGTACATCTCATCGTCGAACTTCCACATGTCCCCAGCGGCAGGATGACTATCAGGAAGATCCCACGACGTAGCCTGCTGCGGGTCCCAGCCTGCTTCCATCAAGTGCAGGACGGTGGCCGTGAGGGGGCCTCTCACATAGAGGATGGCAGGAGGGCAGGAGGGCAGGAGAGGTAGGGGGAGGAGGAGGAGGAGGAGGAGGAGGAGGAGGAGGAGGAGGAGGAGGAGGAGGAGGAGAGGAGGAGGAGGAGGAGGAAGAGGAGGGAGGAGGAGGAGGAGGGAGGAGGGGGGAGGAGGGAGGAGGGAGGAAGTGAGGGAGGGAGGGAGGGAGGGAGGAGGAGGAAGAGGAGGAGGAAGAGGAGGAGGAGGAGGGGGAGGAGGAGGTCAGGGCAGGGCCAGACCCCCACCGGGCGGCAGGCTACGGCCCGCCGCCCGAGGGCGCCCCGCCAACCGGAGCCCATCCGCGGGGCTACGAGTGCCCCCCGCCCTGGCTGCGGGTGTCGGCCGCCCCGCTCGACCCTGCCCTCGGCGGCGCCTCGCCGCGGCCGCCGCCGTCGCGACGATGACGACGACGACGACGACGACGACGACGACGACGACGACGACGACGACGACGACGACGACGACGACGACTACGACGACGACGACGCCGACGCCGACGCCGACGCCGACGCCGACGCCGACGCCGACGCCGACGCCGACGCCGACGCCGACACCGACGCCGACGCCGACGCCGACGCCGACGCCGACGCCGACGCTGACGCCGAAACCGACGACAACGACGTCGACGACTGAAGTCAAAGGAGGAAAGGGCACCCAGTTCTCCGACGGTGTGGTTGCGGAGGGCCTACGTCCAGTGCCGCGGGTCCTGTGCGCAAGCGCAGGCAAGACACATTGATAGTGGGATGTTGAGGAGGAGGAGGAGGAAGAGGAGGAGGAGGAGGAGGAGGATGGATGGACGGATAGGAGGGGTTCGGGAAGCGGGAAAGAGGAAACAATGTGAGAGGGATGAGCCTCTTGGGGCCATCGTAGGTAGAGCCCACCTGGGTCCATGCTGATGGCCTCTCAGACCCTCTTGGGGCCACCATGGGACCAGGCGTTTCTCTACAGTTTCAGCCTCGGGGGCCGCTTGTCGGGCCCCGAGGCCATCAGACATGGATATGGGGCTAGAAACTTGCCCACCGCCGCTGTCGGTTCGAATCTAATCGCGCGATCAGCTTCGCACCGCTCCCCACCTCCACCCGCACATCCCGTTGCGGGATACCGCCGAAGCTACTGCATACCATGGTTGTGTGTTCCTGTGCTCCTGGCGCCGCCAATCGAGCGCCGCAGGGCGGAGAGGAATCCGCACACTGGGATGAGCGAGCTGACGGAGGACATGCATGCGGCGCCCAGGTGTGGCGCTCACGTGCACAACAGTACCGGCACCGTCAATATCGACGGGCAGTGCGATGGGGAGCCACACTCTGGCGCTACACGCGCTGAGGGCAACTCATCCCGAGAAACCGATATTGGATACGCCTGCGGTGCCCTAGTGTGGCGCCCGCGTGCCCTACCACATGAACGGTTCGGCTGACACCACCGAGCAGCACATCTAGAATTCCTTCCCTTGAGGACTCGCGGAGCTCCCATATTCCCACCGTCCAGATCCCCGCCAGTCAGAGACTCTTCAAACGAACCACTGCAATTCGCGGCACCGACGGTTTTCCTTGCTCACGCGTGCTCCTGAAACCCAAAGCCTTGCGCACTCGTGCTCAAACGTGCGAACATGTGACTCGTGGTACTGTTTCGCGCGGAACAGCGCGTTCATCACACACACGGGCTGGGACGCAGGCAAAGAAAGGTGAAGGCGAGCATCGCCGACAAGCACCGCAACGGTATGACGGAAATGGACGCTGGAGACAATGGCACAAAGCGGCGCCTTGCGAGTAAGCCGCTCGCTTTTGTGTGGCGCACCACCATCTGCGAGGCCATCTGGCACGCGCAAATGCTCACGTGTGCCCGCGATTATTTGCACGGCGACCGACCGCCAGAAGGCCTTCTTGGCCTGCTCGAGGAGTGGGCAGAGTTTATAGCAGGGAGATGGTTTTGTTCCATTGGCTCCCGCTTTCCTATATCACCCTAGTCCCAGGTCTTTCTTCGCTCAGGACGCACCCCGGGCTGTCCCTTCTGCATTTCTTTGTTCCAATGCAGGGCACGCGCGCGCTTGCGCGCAAGCGCCCGATGGCAGCAACGCGCATGCACCGGCCGCTAGGCATGACTCCGGATACGCCCCGCCACGGTGACCACAAACAGTAGAAATTGCTTTCGGTCTGTGCGGCGCGTCGCGCAGGGCGTCAGCGCTGCGCGGGGCGGCAAACGCCCCCCCCCCCGCGCGGTGTAAACATGTGCAGTTTATCTTCGCGAAGCTTTGCGCATCGCCCACGCGTCGTCAAGTCTGATTTGCGTCGAAATCCTTGGCGGGGCGTGCCCCAAGGAAGTCCAGGGAGTAGCAGTACAGCCAACCAGCGCTGAAACAATGACCACGTGTTCGGGCCTGCGCGTGGCCGAGGCTCTCTGTGACCAGAAGAGCCCCGCCGCCCCCTAGTCAGTGTTCTTCCCGGTGGCACAGAGATGCATAGGTGCCCTTTTGCATTCCACCCAGAGGAAGGGAGGGGGACAAGCAAGGAGGGGAGGAGGACGACGACGACGACGAGAAGAAGAGAAGCTGGCGACGCCGACGCTATGCCCCGCCGGGCACCGCGTCGGAGGCCCCTTAGCCCTCGGGTGGTCTTCGGCGGCGCCGCCACATGAGCTCCGCCGTCGTGGCAGGAGGCGACGATGACGACGCCGCTATCCGACGGTGCCCCGACGGCCCCCTCGGGGCAGCGTCGCGCCCGCGCAGCGAGCACAGGCCCAGCGCGGTCCGCGGCGGATCGGCGCACGGCGCCACCTCGCCGCTCGCCCCCCGCCCTTGTCCAGCTGGGCGAACCCGCCTCCGCCGACGCTGGCCCCGCGCTTGGCGAGCCTCCTCCGCCCCCGCCTTGCGAGGCCCTCTAGCTTCTCCTCGCGGCAGCCCTGCGCGGCACGGCCGCCCTCGCCTTGGGCCTCGCGCGCCCTTCGCGCCGCGGCCTCGCCCCCCCCCCCCCCCCCCATCGGAGCGGGGCTTTGGATGCCGCCCACCCCGTTCGGGCAGGCGCCCTCGCTTCTCGCCGCCTCTGCCATGGCGGCCCTCGCTCTCCGTCAGAGGGCCGCCGGGCCGCCCAGGTCGGCGCCGTAGGCCTTGGCGACGTCGACCAGCGGCTGGAAGCTCACGGCCCCTCCGCGCGCCCCCCCGTTGCAGACATTCGGGGCCGTCGCCTGCCCAGGCGCCTTCAGCCCCCCCTCCGTGGCCAGCAGCTCCTCGCCCGCCGCCTCTGCCAGCTCGCGCCCGTGGCCACGCGCGACCCCTTCCAGGAAATCGCGTTTGCTGCTGCGCTTGCAGGGCAGGGGGTGCAGGCCTTTCCTCAGCCTCCTCATATGCCCTTTGAACCCTTGAACTCATGCGTTTTCCCTCTGCACTCTGGAACAGCAGCTCCTCTGCACTCTGAAACGGCAGCTTCTGCGCCCCGCTGGCCCCGCGCCGTCGGCGGGCCAGCCCCCCCCCCCCGTTTCGCAGCGGCGCTCGCCGAGACGATGCCCCTTCCAGCAGATGATCGGCTCGATCTCGGCGCGCTTGCTTCCCACCTCCGTTTCCGTCTCTGTCATGGCCGCCTTCTCCAGCAGTTCCTGCTCGGCCCTGCCCGCGTCGACTGCCTCCTGGAGGTTCGGAGGCATGTCCTCCAGCTCTATCCACAGCCCCTCCGGGGTGCCCTCCGTCGTCGCCTCGGCCCTGCCACCAGACCTGCGACTGGCCAATCCATCGCGCCGTCTGCTAAGCCAAGAAGTGCGCGCCCTCAGCTGCGAGGGCTCTTTCGGGCCAGTGGCCCCAGAGGTTGGCTCGTTCCTTGGCGAGGAGGTCCGCCTGCTCGTTGCCTTCGCGCGCCCACCTCTCGGCCCCCGCGACGCGCTCCGCCTTGGCGTTGCGCGCGTTGACCGCGGCGGCATCCACCCGCCTCCTTTCGCCCGCGCAGCACGAGCCACTACCGCTTCCAGAGGTGTTTCCTCGCGGCGGCTTTGGCCAGGGCCTTCCCGGTGACGCTCGCCATCCTGATGGAGCTCACGCAGTCGCTGAAGACTTCAAGCGAGCCGCGCGCGCAGCCCGACAAGAAAGGGAACGCGTAGTCCTCCCGGTCCCTCGCCAGCTGCATGGGGGCTCACGCCAGTGGGGCTGCGCCGCGCGCCGCTCCTGCGACCTGGCCCCATTCGCCGCGCCGCGCTAGGGCCCAACCGGCCCCCCTCAGGATCTCGCCCGACGGGTCGGTTGCCGACCCGTCCACGAAAACCCTGCCTCAGAAGGCCCCCATTGGGCGGGCGCCGCGCCCACTTGTCATCGTGCTTCTCTGGCCTCGCGCGGGGCACCGCCCAGGCCTGCGCGACCTCAGAGAAGAGACCCCCGGCGAACATGTCCCCTGCCCCTTCTCCTTGCTCGAGGGCTCTCCTCGCTGAAAGCTTCGCCTCCTTGAGGCGCGCGTCGCGCCTGTAGTGCTCCACTGCGTCGCAGGCGAACTGTCTGCGCCGCGGCGTGCCCCTGCCACTCCTGCGTCGCCTGCAGGTCTTGCTGGCCGCCAGCTTGCCGTCAAAGGAATTTCGCCCGGGGCCATGCTGATCCCCCCTGCCGCTGTCCCCGGGGCCTTCTTATGATCGGTGCCCAGGTCTCTGAGCCCCCCTCGGCCATGAGCGCCTCGAACCGCCGGGCGCATTGCATCGCCTGTGCGGATCGCCCCTGCCCGCGACAGCTGGCGGTGCATCAGCCTCTCCGCGTGCATTCAGCAGCGTTCCATGACGATCCTCGGCAGGGCTCTGGTGGGCTCTGCTGCGCACATCGCCCATGCCCTCGCCGCCTCCTCTGCGACGAGGCCTGCTGGGTCCCGTCTGCTTCCTTGGCGCGGGGCTCGCACTTGGAGGTTCGCCACTGCTCCCCTTTTGCAACCTGATTCTGCCTTCGCAACCAGGATGCGCACCTGGGGCAGCTTCTGGTCGGCCACCCCTGCCACCGCTGAGCCCCGCAGCGCCGGTGCCGTCGGGCTGCTCTTCTGCAGCCCCCCGCAGGAGCCGCGCGCGAAGCCTGCTCGCCTCGCATGGCACGCCACCATTTTGGATACCATGCCTGCCGCGTCGCGCGGGGTCGCCACCGAGCCCCAGCAGCGCTCCTGCCTCGCTAGCTTCGCCTCCCATGCTGCCACCGGCGGCTGCCTGATCCTGCTCCACAGTTGCATCGCCAAGGCGAGCAGGTTGATCGGCCTGAGGCCCCCATCGTGTTTGGGCAAGAATACCGTCATCATGCTCCATAGCACCATGGGCTTCGCGTCCGCCTCCCACATGTCTAGGATTCCCGCCGGCCTGTCGCTGTAGCTG